ATTTATACATATTATCTCATTTAATCCTCACAACAACCCTGTGAAGTGTTATTATTGTCCTCACTATACAGATGAAAAAAGTAAGTCTGAGAAAGGTTAAGAGACTCGTGCAAGGACGCAGAGCTAGTAAGTACCTGCAGCAAATTTTGCATTCAGGTCTTCCTGACTCCAAATTCTATGCTATATCCATTGTGCTATCTACCTGCTGAATTTCATTGCCATGTAATATTCAGGACTAGTCTTCAAAATATCTTGATTTTTTTTGCATTGTTCTCCAATACACTTAAACCAAAGATATCATAAATGAAATAAATAAGAATGCATTTATTAAGCACTTACTGGTGTATCAAACACTGTGCTAAGCAATGAGGGTGCAGATAGAAAACTGAGACAGATCCTATTCTCAAAGAGCTCACATTCTACTTAGGAAAGACACCATCTAAAGGGAAGTTTCATTTCATGGCATGTGGGAAGGCCATCTGCCAAAGGGACTCCAAGTAAAGCAGCAGGTGAAATGTAATGCCCCCTGGACCTTGAATTGCAACGTAGATGGACCCTAACCAATGATTGATGGCAACAGAGTTGTGGGTACAAGGTTGGAGTACAGTGGGTTCTGGGTTACCCTGGCAAAGGTAGGGATTTGTGGGGAGGGTATCAGCATCCAGCTGAGACTAGGCAACTAGCACATAAAGTGGGCAATAGGATTTGGGTTGAGAAAGGAGATCCTTCACTCTTATCTTGTGTCATTCATGGGGTGAGACTCAGTATCATTTGAGTTGTGTCTATGAGACTTAAAAATAGATCAGTGGTTCAAATGCTTTTTATATTTAATTTAAAGATCCCCATATTCATAACCTCATAATATGAACTATAGGGGGAAAAAACACCCCACCGGTCCTGGTGTAAGAAAAACACAATTTAGGTGTTACTGACTAGCTGTGTAATCTCAGGTAATTTACTTAATGTCTCAGTCCCCTATGTACCTAATGTCCTCAGTTTCCCTCCCTACCTTATAGAGTTGTTATGAGAAATCAATGAAATCATCTAGTTAAAAGTGTTTTGTAAACTTTGAAGTACTATACAAACATAAGGGATAATGATAACTATCATTGTTGTTAATATTAAAGAACAGGGCTGGAAATTCTGATACTGACACTTGTTGGAGGCATGTTGTGGAGAACTGTAATAACCCAGGCATTTGCTAATAGTTTTGTAGCTACAGTCTTTATGTCACTTTAAAAAGTAGGTCAGTATCGCACAAAGAACACTAGAGTTTGCACATACCACACTCTCAATGGATGCTTCAAAGAAAAAAACTCAACCATTATTATCTGGATAATAATAATTATTTTAATTATCCATATAGTTTCATCTATGTAGACAGTTAACATCAGAAAAAAAATATTTTAGCATTTCTTCCTGTTTTTGCCCTGGGAACAAGAACTTGGTTTATCATTGGCAAGTTACACCAAAATAAGACAACTTATTATTCCCCAGTCTCTAAAATACTACTTGGCCAATCATTTTAGGCTTATTAATTTGATTTGTTTGAAAACTATATATGTCTGTATTACAAAGTTCAGAACATGATTCCCATGAAAGGCAAGAATCTCTGAGGGATCCCCAACCCTTTAAAATGCTCTTTTCCCCCCTGCAGATTGTTTTTTTAAGAGGTAGGTAAAAAAGGATGATTTGAAGTAGGTGGATAGAAAGAAAGATTTTAAAACTCCATAAAGGTAGAATGGTTTTCAAATACTCTGTCCCATAAGAGATGGGAATAGAATTAGCATGAAAGAGGGAAGGAGGAAAAAGGGATGATAATGTGAACATTTGAAAGCTGAGAATCTCATATACTTACTAATGTGCTTTTCATAAAATTGGGCTAAGAGCTGAAACTAGGGAAACATAGTAACGCTTCCATTCAGCTCTCCACAATGAAAGTTGTGTTTTCTGGTGCATTGTATCTGTCACCCAAATAGAATAATCCTTTCATGGAAGTTCATTTTTTTTTAGTTCACTCATTAGCAAGTTATGAAGCTTTTATTTTGAATTAACCAGATAGTCACTTCAACTTTCTACTTCATTTTGCCTTTATAAACACCAATACAGGTAGGCTGTCCTGGACTGTTTTTACATTGATGTTTGAAAGTCTTTTTGATGACAGGGAAAGGTTCTAATAGAAGCAGAGATCATTTAATATTTGGCTACAGTCAGTAAACAGGACAAATACTTGTGAGTGTGCAATACCACCTACGAGACCTACTTTAAGCATTTTTCACCATGGTATATTGTGTAAAACAGTAGACCAAGATGTAAAATCTCTGTCTAGAAAGAACTGTTGCATTGTGATAAATACATTGAATGCACTTGAATTCATTCCTTTGTCTTGACCTACTCCTGTGAAACAAAAGTATCTTTGAGTTGCTTCTACAGAGCTCAGTTTTTTCTAAGGTACTTTCCAGCTATGAATCTGATGCAATGATGATTAACAGCCTATTTTCGCTGCTGAGAAACTTTTATCCCATAGTGTTGACAGATTGCAGGGAGACAACGCTTCCAAAAATACTGATTACAAGTCAGTGGACAGAACTCTAAATGTGGGGTCTACTTCAAGGATTTGCCAGCTTCCATTTCACAATATTTATCTCTCCCCTTTTGCTTTTCCCCTTCATTTTCTGGTCTCCCTAATTTCCCTCTTTCCATTTTTTTCTTTCCTCTTCCTCTTTCTTTAGTGTTTATTTTACACTTTGAAATTTAGGAAATTAATGCTATTAGGCATCACCCAAATAGCGACCCCTGAAAGCCATGAGGTGGGGAGGAGGAAGGAAGGCAGGCAAGGTGTTTGCTGAAAAATCTGTTTTAATGTTGTTTTTAATTGGTAAGGAGTAAGAAGCAGTTTCCTGAAATACGTATTTGAGGGCATCAAATGTGAATATGATTGGGAGTCTCAATAGTATGTTTAAATAATTCTACTAACATCACAAGAGTTTCACTTTTGTCAAACTCATATTTTTTTTAAAGGTACAGAAATATTCTCTCTATCAGCCCAACAATAACACAGCTTTCCTGACTTGTGTCAGTTGCCTCAGATCTCTTTAAATTTTAAGCTTTGTATTGGGTTTTTGTGGGAAGTAAAAGGAACTATTCCTGTTAAAAAGGATTTTTTTTTCTTATGTAGCCCAGTCATTGGAAAATATAAGCTCAATCCCTCTGTCAGCATCTATGGTTTCAAAATGAAAAAGATTAGGCATTTATTTTAGAAATTTATGTTAATGTAGGTGAGTAATTAAAGTAGTTTAAGCAAAATCAAAGCAAAAAAATAGCATAAAAATGATGAGGGGAATTTGGAAGCCAATTGTGAGCCAATGGAATTATTTCCTGGGAAGACCAAATTTCTCTCTTCAGCTTAGTTCCATTTTCTAGGTCTTATACTTAAAATACAATTTTACTTCTCAAGCAATGACATGTGCACAGATTAGAAGAGTCATGATATTTAGGAAGCCTTTGAACTTGAAAAGTTCTTATGAAAGTTCATTTATTCAATTTGATTTCTTGTTTTTCTAGGATGCCTTCCTTTTTGTATTTAAGAAATCTTGTAGTATTATCAAGGAGACAAGCTACCCCTTATCACTTACCTTTCTCATTTTCTCTTCCAGTCTCTGACAGTATAGGATAGTGTGTTTAGTGATCCCTTTAAAACAGTGGTACTGCAGAACAGGGTAAATACTCATTTAATTAAAAAAAAAAAACAAGTCTTTCCTATATGATTTTTATTTAGAGGAGTGAGATGAAGTATGCTTTATCTGAAGTTTTGTAACAATTAGCTGTGCTATATTGTATTAATATATTTCATAGTAAGCACAGAATCACTTGGCACCCCTGTCCCTCAAATAGAGGTGGAGAACTTCAGGGCTTGAGATCAAATCAATTCTTAACCTGAATTTCATCTAGTCTTCAGGGTATTATTATTATTTCAGTCATTGCTGTCAGCAGCCCATAATTTCCATATGGGCAAGTTGTTCTGATTAACCCATTCAGAATGGATACTAAAATAATTAAAAATTTAAAGGTTAAGATAGTCAGAGAGCTATGAATAATAACTCATAGACTAATTAGAATATTAAAGAATAGTAAACAGCAGATATGAATTTATAAAGCTTAAATCTCTATCCCACATGAATAGGGAATCCTCTAGTTAGCACATCAGTGCCTTGTGAACCTCTGTATCTCTACAGGTCTTTCATTTTCTCACCTTACCACTATCTCCTTCTACTTTCTTCCACTGTCTCTTTCTGTATGTGTCTTGTATTTCCTATGCATTCTTTCTTACTGTTTCCTTATAAATTTCCTTCATCTGGCCAATTGCAATTTGAAGTTACTCAAAAATCTAGTAGTGAAGTATTTATTTTAGTAAATATTAAGTTATAAATTTCTTAATAGACTTATTGATTTATAAAATTATTAAATACTATTATTATCAAGCTCAATGAATAAAGTTTTGTCTTCTTAATTAAAAGGAAGGCAGATGAGTTAAACACTATATATTTTTACCTACAAGGAAAAAAATTCTTAAGGTAAATTGTGTATATACCTCTTGATTTGATTTTTTATTCTTATTTTACAAATGAAGAGGCTAATGTCAGTGACTCATTCACATTCATGTGGCTCATAATATACTAGAACTGTTATTGGGACTCTGGTCTTATAACTCCAAGTCTTTGTTATTTCCACTATACTCTGCAATAGGAAAATTAATACAAGTATTTCCAACTCCTTGCCCTGTTGGGTGGGAGTGGGAGGAAGAAAAGGTTTCTAGAATGCAATCATCATGGAAGAGAGTTATTTCTAAGAACTCCTGAAGAAAGAAGATTATCTGTTGGGGTTGGGAATCAGGATACAGTGAACATAACCTCTTTTCTCCCTCCTCCAGCTATTCTTCATTCTATTTCAAATTCTTTTATCTTTAGATAGATTCAGAATGAGGTTTGAGGACTGAGTCAATGGATCAGCAAAACTATTCAGTGGTGTCTGAGTTTGTGCTGAGTGGACTCTCCAGTTCCCTCCAACTCCAGTCTTTCTTCTTTGTATTTTTTTCTCTGATCTACATAGCCACTGTGCTGGGCAACCTCCTCATTGTGGTCACGGTGATCTCTGAGCCCCAGCTTCATTCCTCTCCCATGTACTTCCTGCTGGGCAACCTCTCTTTCCTGGATATGTGGCTGGCCTCATTTGCTACCCCCAAGTTGATCAGGGATTTCCTCAGTGAGAAGAAACTCATTTCTTTTGGGGGATGCATGGCCCAGATTTTCTTCCTGCATTTCATTGGTGGTGCTGAGATGGTGCTGCTGGTCTCCATGGCCTATGACAGATATGCAGCCATATGCAAACCTTTGCATTATATGACCATCATGAGCCGGAGGACATGCATTGGACTAGTAACCATTTCATGGGTTATTGGTTTTATTCACTCTATCAGCCAAGTAGCCTTTACTGTGAATTTGCCTTATTGTGGGCCAAATACTGTGGACAACTTCTTTTGTGACCTTCCTCTTGTGATCAAGCTTGCTTGCACGGACACCTATGTCCTGGGGATATTGATGATTGCTGACAGTGGGTTGCTATCTATGAGCTGCTTCCTACTTCTCATGATCTCTTACACAATCATCCTTGTTACTGTATGGCAGCATTCAAGGGGGAGTGCATCCAAGGCTCTTTCCACTTGTTCTGCCCATATCACGGTGGTAACACTCTTCTTTGGTCCCTGCATCTTCATTTATGTGTGGCCCTTCAGTAGGTTCTCTGTGGATAAGGTCCTGTCTGTGTTTTATACTATTTTTACTCCTCTCTTAAACCCTACAATCTATACTTTGAGAAATGAGGATGTGAAGACAGCCATGAAAAAACTAAGGGCCCGGCATATAACTTTTCATTGATTCCCAGGTGACTTTCTTGATGAATATGCCCCTGCTCCCACTCTAGCTTAGAATAGTCTTTATCAATTTGCAGATTATTTCTATTTAATCTGATTTGATTCTATGGTTTTATATTGCATTGATATAATGAAATTTGAGATGCATTCTGTTTTAGGAATATCCTTATAAGTGGTCAAAAGCCAAAGACACTATTCATGTTGTATCATCTTCAAAAATCTTAGACTTTTGTAACATGTAGCCTTTTTGTAAAGCACGAGTTCACTGTTACCTAGACTGTTTAATGATTATGATGCTTTACATTTAGAGAGGGAGGGAGTGTTGTGTAGTGCATTGTGAACTACCTATAGAGTCAGGAAGACCTCAAATCAAATATACTGCCTATATGACTCTGGACATGTCAATTAAATACCTCAGTCAACTCTAAGATTCTAAGTTGCAGGGTAGTTGTAGATTTACATTGGTAGAAGTTTCCTCACGAGGAATTCTCTTTACAAACGAAATCACAAGACTGGGTCAAAGAAACAAATGAAATATATGGGGCTTTAATAGGTATAAGACATTTTATTTAAATAATCTCATTTGATCTTCACGGCAACCCTGTGAAGCAGGTATTTAAGGTATTATTATCCCCATCTTAAAAATGAAGAAGCATAAACTCAGAAAAAAGTTAAATCATTTACCGAAAACCACATAACTAGCTGGTATAAAAGATGAAACTTATACTTAGGCACTCTAAGTCCTATTTTTTTTTCTATTATGATACATTGCCTCCCAAACAATCTGGCAATGAAACAGAAAAAAAACAATTGAACTGCTATGATTGTTTCACTAATATCTTTGATTTGGAAAAGATCTATCTAACAGCCTGATATAAACACAGTCATAGGCTTTTACAAGATTAATAGAAAGTAGAATATTAGAAGTGGAAAGAACCACAGAGACCATCTAGTCCAACCCTCCCATTTTACAGGCAAAGAAACCTGAGGTGCAGAGCAGTCACTTCCTTCGTCAAATCAAACAATGTTAGTGGCCTAGGTAAGACCGGCTACAGCTCTGACTTCCTGATTCTCAGTTCAATGTGGGTAGGGTTCTTGACTTGGAATTAAGAAGATGTGGGTTCCACCTTTGACACTCATAAGAGAATTGAACACAAGTAAGTCATTTAACTTCTCTGAGCCCCAATTTCTTTATTTGTAAAATGGAGATAGAAAAACTTGTTGTCATATTTTGTAAATTTTAAGGTGCCCTGTAAATGTCACTTATTATTATTGTTACTTTTTGTGGTTGTTTTTGCTGTGATTGTTGTTATTTCCAGTGCACCATACTTCCTAGTATGACAGAGTAGAAAGAACGGCGGATATTTTTTTCTGCTGTCAATTCTTGAGTAGCTATAGATATCATAGGCTATCATAGCATATCATATTATCATGATCTTAAGAACATGGATCCTTCTGAGCTCTAAATCTATGATCCTAAGATATCAAGTTCAACTCTTTCATTTTTCATATAGGGAATATGAGGCTCAATGAGGATATGTGTATTGCAAGGTCACACAACTAGGAAATGTCTGAGATGGGATTCAAACCCAGCTTTAGCCTGACACCAAGTCCAGATCTCCAGACATTACATGTGTTTTGCCCATAGCTATCACTAGTACAGGATGCACCTTAGCCATGTATAGGATGGATTAGTCATAATGATGATGAGAGGTTTTTATCTTATGTCATCCACTCTTTGTAGCTCCAGCTCCCAGTGAGAGCTAACTGATATTGAAGGGGAAAAAATATGAAATTGTATTTTGGTTTTTGTGGGTTTTTTTCTATATAGTTACCAGGACTACATGATGATTAAACTCTTAGCTAGAGTTTTAATGAATATGAAACTGGGATCCAATGAGTTAGCACACAAAACCATCTACACAAATAATATATTCAGCTTCCAGAATATGTAAGTAGGCTTGTATTCAAAATCATGGCTTTGAAATATGGGATTTACCTATTCAGAGCTTCACTGTGAATATCACTTGCTAAGATGAATTGATTCGAGTAGCTATTGCTCAATAAATCAATGTTCTCTCTTAATGGTCTATAAGCTCATTGAAGGCTGAGATTGCATCATAAGTTCTCTATAATCACTAGTTGAATGTTCAACAAAAATTTATAAAGTACATACTCTGTGTAAAACCTTGGGTTAATAGTGCTGGAATACAGAAGGGGGAAAAAAGACACAAGAAGTTTTCTTAAGCATCTTGCATACTACTTAACATCTCTGGGATGTGAACCATCTAGTCTTATGAGTAAGTGGTATGCATGATTTCAGGGATCTCCAGATATTACACTCCATCTAAGAAGTCTATCTCACAGTTTCTCATACTACTTTGGAACATATTCCTTTGGAAATGGAAAGCTATACTATCTTTAAGAATCTAATCCTTCTTCAAAAATAGGATTACATCACAGACTTTTGTCAACTCTAAGACTAGGATGCAGAATCATTGTCTGAATAAAGGCATTTGACAAGGATGGGGAGACTAGGTAAGAGGAAAAGGAGATAACAAAATGTCAAAAACTGACTTTCAATTTTTGCCCTTGCCTGACTCTAGATATAGTGCTCTAAAATCCAAGATTGTGATTGATTTTCTATAGAATAATTAGAACTCTCCTGTATTTACATGGATAGAACCTGTATTGCTCCCCCCTCCAGTTATTGATTTGTGTATATAAATAACTGAACTTCGCGTGTCTATGATATTAGAACTGAGAGTAAGCGGGTGCAATTAAACAATCACAAGCTTCAGTGTTAAAAATTGTAATGAATTAAAACAATTCTGAGGTGTCACCTCCTACCTATCAAATTGGCTAATATGACAAAAAAGGAAAATTATAAATGTTGGAGAAGATGTGGGAAAATTGGAGCACTAATGAATGCATTGTTGGTGGAGTTGTGAACTGATCAACCATTCTGGAGAGCATATTGGACCTAAGCCGAAAGGGCTATAAAACCATACATACCCTTTGATCCAGTGATTCTACTACTAGTTCTGTATCACAAAGAGATCATAAAAAGGGGGAAAGGATCCACATATACAAAAATACTTACAGCAGCTCCTTTTGTGGTGGCAAAGAATTGGAAATTGAGAGGATGCCCATCATTTGGGGAACGGCTGAACAAATTGTGGTATATGAATGTAATGGAATACTATTGTGTTATAAGAAATGTTGAGCAGGCAGATTTCAGGAAAACCTGGAAAGATTTACATGAACTGATGCTGAGTGAAGTGACCAGAACCAGGAGAACATTGTACACATTAATAGCAACATTGTGCAATGACCAGCTTTGATAGACTTAGCTCTTCTCAGCAATACAATGATCTAAGATGATTCCAAAAGACTCACAGTGGAAATGCCATCCACATCCAAAGAAAGAACTATGAAGTCTGAGTACAGATTGAAGCATACTATTTTCTCTTTTTTTGTTTGCTTTTTCTTTCTTGTGGTTTCCCCCTTTTGTTCTTATTCTTCTTTCAGAACATGACTAATGTAGAAATGTTTAATATGATTATACATGTATAACCTGTATCAGATTGCTTGCTGTCTTATGGGAGGGAGGTGGAAAGAACAAAATATTTGAAACTCAAAATCTTATAAAAGTGAATGCTGAAAACTAAAAAAGAAAGGTATTTTGCATTTGATTTTTATACTCATAAATTGCTCTCCATGTGGATTTTTACTAAACACAGTATCTTTTTACCAGATTGACTTTACTTTTTTAAAATTATGAACTTTACAGTTAACAAAAACAACAAACATATAAACAAATCTAACTTGAAACCTAGGGCAGAAATCAATGAATTACTAAACAACAAGCAAGGGAAGACAATGTTTTTGCCCTACACCCCCTTCCAGGACTTCTAGAATTTATCTTCCTTCCTTCCTTCCTTCCTTCCTTCCTTCCTTCCTTCCTTCCTTCCTTCCTTCCTTCCTTCTTTCCTTCCTTCCTTTTTTTCTTCCTTGCTTCCTTTTTTCTTCCTTCCTTCCTTTTTTTCTTCCTTTTTTCCTTACTTCCTCCTCTCCCCTTTCCTTCCTATTATACGTAGTTCTAGTTATGCTGATTTCACTCTGTACTATTTCATATTGGTATGTTTTGCATAGTTCATATTCATGATTTTAATGCAACCATCACATTCTATGTTATTAATATTCCATAATCTATTCAGCCTAAGGCAATGTCTTAGGTATGTAGTGTACATGAATATATATATATACATATATATATATATATATATATATATATATATATATGTATATAGTGTGTGTGTGTGTGTGTGTGTGCGTGTGTGTGTGTGTGTATCTATATCTATCTATCTATAGATAGATAGATATAGATATATAAGCACACACATGTATGAATCAATGAAAAGGAATTAAATATTTACTGTGTTCAAGAGTTTATGGAAAGTATTAAGGGATACAAATGCAAAAGAGACAGTTCTTGCTTTCAAGGAGTTCACATTTTAATAGAAGGAGATAACACATATTAAATGATGGGAAGTACTATTCCCACTTCCTAAAATAGCACATCAGGGACTATTATGTTAAAATCCAAATACAATGGCTTCACTATCACTTATTCTAGCCTAAATAAACTTGGAAAGGCTCACACCAGTAGGGTGACCAACTGACAAATTCTTTGACCATGGCACATAACTACCAAAATAATCTTAAGCCAAAGGTCTGACCATTTTAATGCTCAACAATGTTTAAGTGCCTTCCTTTTGTCATGAGTATTAAATGCTGACTCCCCTGTCTCACTTCTAATGTCCCAGATAAATTGGCTTGGAGTTACTGCTTCAGGCTTATTTATATATACTCCTCACCTCACATAACACACACACACACACACATATAAACACACACACACACACACACACACACACACACACACCCCCACAAACTTGACATTCTGACCAAACTGGCCTACTAAGTGTTGTCTTAATTTAG